TAACACTATACGAACGTTAAAGTTAGGTATGCATAATAATATAAATATATATTCCATAATTTTTACTCAGAAATGCTCAGAATATTATTTACTCCATCATAATTTCCCAGATAATTTCACACTACTTTCCCCATCAAGAGCATACCTATTAATTATATTCTTTAAATTGATTATTGATAATTGGCATCCATCTTAGCATATTACTCATATTCGTTTGAAATCTGGAGGAAATAAATAAAAACAAATAGTAATGTTTCTGGTGGTGATGGAGTTATTTGACAGTAAGTTACTCAATCAATATCTAGAACGAATGTATAGTGAGAATATAGTAATTCGAAAAAACTTAAATCCATTAGATATCGAATATTCGTCTTAATTGTCGAATATTCGATATATAGGGCATTCGATATATCGTTTATTCGAAATATTTGAATATTCGAATATTTGAGCATTTAGATATTTGAATATTCGAATATTTGAATATTCGAATAGTTGAATATTCGAATATCTGAATATCTGAATATTCGAATATCTGAATATTCGAATATTCGAATATCTAAATATCTGAATATTTGACTATTTGAATATTCGAATATTTGGATATTCGATATATCGAATATTTGGATATTCGATATATCGAATATTCAATATATCGAATATATCGATATATTTTGGATATCGATATTCGATATCCAATATCCAATATCCGATATCGCCCAGCTCTACTAGGTAGGGTCTTTCTGCCTTTTTTGTCAATAAAGTTTAATGAAATGAATAAATGTACTTGATAATATTTGCGAATTATCATTTAATCATTATAATCATAAGTCGAATGAGGTTGTCCTCTTTTTTGACAGTTGTAGAAAAAATATTGTATGTAATGGGTGCGCGAAAAGTGTTTTATTTTTCTCATAGGAATTGCCGCACTTAGCCGTCAGCGTCTCACTTCAACATTTCCTACTGGTAAAAAAATTACAACTTAACGCACTTGTTACATAAGTAACTATTTTATTGTTCTGCTTGAAAAGATCTCGTTATACGATCACTGTTAATAGTATTAGACGATTATTAATGGTCTACGTACGTTTCATGAGGAAGACTGACAATTTTGAGATAGTTGAGATTGTGTCAAGGTTTTATCTTCTTTTATAATCTATAAATTGACTATGCGTGTAATATGAACCCTATCGGATCACATCTGAAACTGAATAAAATAAAAAATGCTGTTGCTGATTCCATTCACTCCTACTTTGATCGGAAGACCGATTGAATATTCATTTGAGCTAAGTGATTTATTATTATATTTCAATTGTGCATGAGTGATAGAAATAGATAAAGATATAAATGAATATTCGATTTGCAACTTTCAATGCGATGGACAAAGACATATTTGAATTAAGGTAATGATTATAGTTAGGATATAGGTAAATTTACGTGTTGTCACATAATGTTGAAAAAAGAAGAAGAAAAAATAATGTCGTCGTCGATTATTTAGTGGCAAATTCATAACCATACAATAATATCCATGAACGCAGACACGTCCTGAAATCTTTTAAGATAGAAGAAATTTTTTGAGTGAATTTTTTGAGGGGGCTTAGTAATCTCTATAAATGATGCAAGAGGGAAGGGAAGAGATTATCAATGACAAAATTTCGCGTTATGTGATGAATGTATGACCCCTAAGGTAAAATATTTATGAATTCATTATTTGTGTGAAAAAAAAAAATTATTTGAAGACGATCATTGACTTCAGCCTGCGAACATAGCTTTCTAGAAAACTGTATTGATGGAGATCATATAGCAACTGTTTGAAATTGGGTGCATTATTCAGCTATCAAAGGTATAGATGAACTATAATTTCATTCAATCATGAAAATTGATATAATATATTATATGTATATGTACCACAGCTAGACCCCCTCAAAAGTCAAAATCCTCAAATTCCTAAAGGAATTGAATCTCGAGGGGCTGCTATGAACAAGAAATCCTTGATATAGCAGAAGCAGATGGGGCACAATAGATCTAATTAGGTCGCAGCGCATCAGTCACCATCCAACCTACCAATACTACCAATACCAATACCAATACCAATCTTATTTGAAATGATCATTATTGTATTTTCGAGGGGTAATCCACCTTGGAATTATGGTATACATCGGGCATGCGTGGGAATCCAGTGGGATTCAGTGGGATTCCAGAGGAATTCAGTGGGATTTCAGTGGGATTCTGTGGGATTCCAGTGGGATTCCGTAGGATTCCAGTGGAATTCCAGTGGGATTCCTGTGAGATTCCAGTGGGATTCCGTAGAATTCCGGGAGGATTCTAATGTACACATTTTTCGAAGGTGTATTTCCTTAGATATGTTTTTTCATCGGAATACAACACCCTGTATAACTCATGCTGAGATATTGAGTCTCCTTGTGCGAGTCTCTTTATCACCTCTCAAAATAGAGGTAAAAAAATCTGTATCACCCTGTATAGTCTAAAGTGGCCTGTAATCGCAGGAACAGAGAGACACTGAATCGCAGGAGCGTCTTTAAGCCTTTGGTTGAAGATCGTTTCCACGCAGTTTTTCGGGCGCATCCGCATGTCCTTGTAGTAATACCGAAAATACGCAAAATACCAACAAGTCTTACATAAATAATCGATTTTACGATTATTTCACGAACTTGTTTCAAACCAGATGCACGGTCTCTCAAAGTAGTTCGAGATGTAGTTGCAACAGATTTCAGTTTCACAAGAAGACATTTTCCCGTCAGTAATGAATAATGGTCGATATGGCGTAGGTACCAATGAATAATAATACCTATACCAGCAATACCAGCATGGAATGCCCGCATCAACACAAAAATCAATGCAGAAATGGATGTTTGCGAAACGAAAAGCATGACATCCCGACTCACGAGTTGATTTATCCGCGAATTAATGGAAAGCGAGTTATGAGAAAAATCTTCAGATGAACACCATACACTGCCATACAGGTTGTTTGCAAAATAAGGCAAAAAACTGAAAGGGGAGCGATCATATACGATTTTACCGAATACATTATTATATATCCAAGTCTAATTATAGTAATTTTGGATAGAAAACTGAACAGGAAAATTCGAAAAATTTTAAATAATGAACAATGACGTATGAAATGAAAGAATAGAACACCCTGTGACGCGTCATTGGTTGAAATGACCAAAGGAGTGTATAATCTCTGACCAAAGTAACTGCATCGTGAAGAATTGAGAATTTTGAATAGAAAATCATTTACCAAGATTGATTGAAGAAAATTTAGCCATTTTCTAGTTAAACATGTCAAAACTATATACATATAATCTTCTATTTGACGATCAAGACAGATTACATCCTAATTCAATTCCATCAGAGTTTGTTCGAGGTTTCCCCAAATGTATAACTGATGATCAGTTAGATATTGGGAATGATGAATATCAAGTTTCCATTCGCCATTTTCATAGTTATATTGAATGTTAACCCTAATAGCAATGAATGGATTCCAAACCAAAACTATAACTCATTATCATTTACATTCAACTTTGAATTATACTGATAAAGAGGCAATTGTGATCTACTTTAGGAAGTGAGAAAACTCTGATTTTCTTATCGATTTGGGTCAAGGAGATTCAAATTTTGACATTCTTATTGTAGGCGATTTTACCTCGGATTTCATGTATAATTTTTCCCGAGATTTTTCCGATATAATATGTACATAGATGGTTGATGCCTTCAAACATATGCCGAAACTAACGAAGTAACGCAACGTATCAATAAAATTCACCAGAATCTGAGCCAGAATCTCAATTACATTGCTTTTGTATATAAAATTGAAGGTTTTTATTCAAGCAGATGCTGAATTGTCTATATAATCTGTCAGTTCACAGGATTATTCGGAGGGATCTACGATTGTTTTTTTCAAGCAGATCATGATTTGTATATAATAGTTCACAAGATTATTTTCAGGGATCTATGATTTCTGAAGAATTTGTAGGTAATCATCATGTCTGCTCTGGTTTCGCATCCTTATTAGTAAATCAACATTCTTGCAAAGCGAGAAGAGCTCGAATCGTATATCCAACTGGACATGAATTGTTGGATTATGATAGAATGTTATTGTTTTCTGTGTTATCAGTGTACCCTGAGTTGTATCGTGTTTTCAGGGACTTCATCTGACTTCCCTTACTTCGATATATACAGCAGGCAAAAAAATATTTGCGAGTAAACTCAAAGTCATTCACACGAATAATGTTCGGGAGGATGTAATTCGATGTTCTGAGTGGCATTTGCCAGGAAAGTAGTTGTTTATGTTTTGGACAATTGTGGAAACGACTTTGAGTTTTTACTTTCCAGATACTAAACATTGATATTTGTTGTAGGAGTCTATTATTGCTCAAAGTGGAGTAAGTAGGAGAAATTCAAGAAGAGAAGAATGCTCCAAGACTTCTCAAAAATATTCAATGACATTTATATAATTATGGTACATGTTTAGGACTCATAATCCATCATATAAATGAATCTAAAAAAAATATTGAGAAGATATATAGGATATCGCCTTAAAATCATGAAAATTCAACCCTCAAAATTGAGTTCAGGAAACGAAACACTGAAAAAACCTGTTGATAAATTCGCAGTGACAGATGTAAAGGAAATGCAGGTCCGTATTTGATAAACAAAGTAGATGATGGCACTGAAAGACAAAACGTTGAATCTAAATGTGAACTGAAGGAGTCCTTCAGTAGATTATAGGTGAAAATAGCATATCATGACAAAAAAATTGCACTCAGTGACAACCTTGGGAAATTCCCTTTCTTTTTCAATTTCGAAATCAAACAAAAATTGCAACATGGTATCATGTTAGTTAGTTATTTACTGATTTTATAGAGGGTCACTGATGACACTGATGATAGTGAGATATTCCGAAACCACAGATTATAGTATAATCATTATAGAAGTTCAAATATCTCGAGCAGCCGAAATAAAAATGAGGTACCACTCACCCAGTGTATTACATTGAGCGAGACAAAAATGCATGTTTTGTTTGAAAATGTCGGTACCTACCAACTTTTTTTTTATATTCAACTCCAATTGAGAAAATCTAATTGACGCGTCGCACAAGGAAGCCTCGCGGACCTCGCGAAGAAGAGGTCCTTGGAGGAAACAAAACGATATCGAGAATTTCGCGGTCCAGAGCACGCGGAGTTGGCTCTGATACTAAAGCGTAAAGTCTCCGTCCCACACATGCCCACTACAACCACCATGTGCAGTCGCGCTCATTGAATATAAAGAGGAGAGGACGGAACATCAACTAAAAGTCCTTATCACACCAAGGACGTCGATATGGGGGGGGGGTGATAGGGGTAATTACCCCCATACAAAAATAATAATAATAATTTGCGAGACATATTCCATGACTGTTTGCTATATGATTTGTTTGTCCGAAGAAGTTTAGTTTTGTTTCTAATTATAATATACAGTGAGGGCGTAAAAAGTCTTTCTCCTTTATATGGCTTTTGAACGGAACGAGCTAGCGAGGTCGGAAAGAGTTGCCACCTTTGAATTTCTGATTTTCAGGACAAAATGGTTGAAAATGCAAGACAATCAATAAAAAATGGGGACAAATAATAAAATATCGATGAAAATGTTGAAAACTTCAACGAATTATAAGAGTTTCAGTGTATAACGGTATAAAAACGTCATAACAAACAAAAGAGGGCAGAAGTCTCGTGTTAGACCCTAGAGAGATAATATGACATATTTTCTCCCTAGGGAGTTTATACCAACCTCGATCTCGATACCAACTTTACATTTTCCGCATACCTCTGCGCTTTCTTTTCGGAACACCCTTCTCTGAAGCAGTATAAGCTGCATCATACAGATTTCTAGATCCCACTGGTAGCAAGTTAAGAATCACTGCAGAAGCAGTATCAATAGTTTCTTGTGATTCTCCCTCGATTTCTTGTTCCATAATCGTTAACCATTTTCAAAGCTGTTTTCATAAATTTCAGTTTGATGTCATCACCATGGATTGTCAACAAGATGCATGTTGTCAAGATACGAATTCCACAAACTATACTACTACTAATTATGACAAAACACTTTGACCAAATTTGTATTCTTTTTAATTTTTGTGTTTTCGCCAGCGTGAATAACAGTATATACACCTCAGGACAGAATGCTATTTTTTCCCCGATGCTTGGGTAAAACCTTGCATTCCTGTTCTTTATTGGTGTATAATGTACTATAGTTCATGCACTTTAGGGAATAGAAGGTTACTTTTAATCCCTCAGAAAATAAAAGTCGATACTGAATTTTTTTCCCAAACGTCATAGCATTGCTTTCGTGGCACATCACTTTTCGATGTCAATAACAATATGATAACCACACCGACCTCTCAACAAAGTTAGCAATAGGAAACTCTACCGCAACGAGTTCGAGAGTACTATATTTCATAATTTTCTTATTTAACCTCGCTGGTGGCTGGCGCGCTTTCATCAGATCTGTTCAAGTACGAAAGTTATATGAATGATACAATAGTGGGTGGAGAAGGGTTTTAACATGGAATATGATGAAAATGGTATTGAGAGGTGGTAGATCCATGTATTTGAGAATGAATAGGTTGTTCAGTACTCCCAAGAGCTTCGTGATTGTTTCAAATCAATCAACCCATATTCCTTCTTTAGGAACTTCTTGAGGACCAGATTACAGAAATCTTTAGTTGAAGACCATCAGAGTGAATCTTAGTTCAATTGCTTTCCATCAGTTAATGAAGAATTTCTGATATTTTTGAGGAGAATCCGAGGGAGAATCTATGAATGTAAAATCCGAGGTTAAATCGTTAGACGAACTTAATCTGTTCCGATTTTTTCAAGAAGAATCTGAGAACGTAAAATTGTTATCATGTTGAACGAACTCTATCGCAGTTATGATTTTTACAAATCGCAGAAACCTTCACAAACACCCTGCAAGTGTTCCTATAGAGAGGTAGGCCAGGTCTAATCGCGTTCGCTTGGGGGTTCGAATCCAACGACTGCATAAATTTTTCTGATGGCCCAGGAAAGTGTTTGGCATCACAATCACACTATCACACGTTAAAAGGTAGGCCCCCGTCATTCCTTGCTCGCACAAGTATCTTGAAGACTTCTGAGGGTTGCTAGTAAGGGGGCAACCGAATGACGGATAGAACAATTTTAGAACAATTTCAGAATTTTTCAAAACGAATAATGAAATTCAATTGACTCTTCTGAGAAACAAATAATGCCTTCTAAAAATCTAATTGAGTCGTTCCGAAATTCAGAAGATATTTTCTGAAATACAAATGATACTTTCGAAAATTCAATTGACTATTCTGTAATACAATTGACGTTTTCTGAAATTGAATTGACTATTCTGAGGTACAATTATCGCTTTCTGAAATTCACGACTATTCTGAAATACAATTGATGTTTTCTGAAATAAAAATGACTCTTCTGAAATATAATAGACGCATTCTAAAAATTAATTGACTATTTTCTGAAATACAATTGACGCTTTCTTAAATATACAAGTGAATATTCTGAAATTCAATTGAGGTTTTCTGAAATACAACTGGAAAAGGTGTTGTGGTGGGGTGATTGTGTTTCATCCTCGGTTTCATTCTATTTTGAACATGATTACCCAGTAGGTTCCTATCGAATATTTGAAGTTGAAATGATGATTTGAGATCCTATTTCCTAGTCGCACCGAACGACTTATATTCATAGAAAGAAAGAAGAGTTAATTTTTGTCAAGAAGAAATATTGAATTTTGAAGTTTGCCTGTAATTTTTGCACGTATATTATTAACAATCGAAACCAACCGTCTGCTTTCGAGATTTTTTTTGTGATTTGTTGTGGCATTATGTCTCATACAACACTTCAATTTCATTTATCGATCCAATTTCGGAAGCACCCTGTATAGCCTATTCATGCTGGCCATTCATTATTAGGCCCAGATAAGCGGCTAATTGGAGTGCCCGATCTCGATAGCGATCGCGAATACAGCGTATATACAGCGATAGCACTAGATTGAAGATGGCTTTGAAGTTCCTCGCGAAAATATAAGATTGCTGTGGAATTCCTACATCACGGTTTGTTAATCGGTGACATCACCATTCACCATCTGCATCCAGGGAGTGGCTGCTCTTTGGAGGCGTTCTCCATTTTTTTATGTTTTGAGAACTAGGGGAACCCCCTCGGGTACCCCTCTTACACCTTGTCCTTAAGTGACTTTCAAAGACTTTGTTCAATGAGTATTCATCAACATCTTGTAAATAGAGATAGGGGCTAATTTATCAACGAAGTTCCTAATCGATAAATTTGCTCGAGACTCTAGAACAATGCTATTTTTGTACAAATAAAATTATGATTTCAATCACGTGCGATTTATTATTGTCATTTTCACTGTAAACAGAATGTGATGTTAATTTAATTCATTTTATTATGTTTTCTTGTTTTATTTTCATGTTTCATTAAGAACTAGCTGTATTCTGCGCGAGTTGCTATATATACTACTTACTTGAATAAATTTGAAGGAATCGAATTCATTTAGAATCATTCTATTGCTTATAGCTGACCCAGCTAACGTTGTTTTGCTATCTACATAATTTCTTAAGAATATTTTTTCAAATAAATATTTAGCAACACCCTTTTATCATTTGCTTTTCTACTTCTATATAGTTTGACTAACCATAAAAGAATGTTTTCAAAGTTTTTCGAACTACGACTATTGATTTTCTACTCTTTTTCAGTTCGGTGATCTACCTCTTCAGTTCTCTAAACTACTATTAAGTTTCTATTTCTTTTTAGTTTGGCTACCTATAAAAGTGAGTTTTATTAGTTTTTCGCAACTCTATGTATTACAAACCTCGTTCGACATATTGAATGCGCCATCTTGAGCTTCCTAATTATTTATGACGGAGGAATCATAATCTCTGACTTCGAAAACCCTCAGATACCAATTGTAAATAGCGGATCATAATTAATAAATTCGTAAGCTGTATCGGATCTGCCATCTTCAATTGCCAAATTTTGACGAAATCATACCCCTAGAAACCAATTTTAAACAGAATCGGATCATATTACAAAAGTCGTATGCGATATTGGATTCGCTATCTTGAATTTTCAAATTTTGAGAAACTAATCATAATATTTGACTCCAAAATCCCCCAGATACCAATTCTGAATAGAATCGGATCATTATTAAAAAACTTGTTCACCTCGTTGTTCACCATATTGGATCCGCCATCTTGAATTCTCCAATTTTCACAAAAAATCATAATCTCCGACCCCGAAAACCCCAGTTATTAATTTCGAATAGGAGATCATATGACTACAGAGTGAGATAAATAACCAATAAAATCACTAACGATTCCGATTTGTTATCAAATAATAAAAAAAAATAATACCTATAAAAAAATAACATAAAAAAACCGAGAGCTGAAATCTAATATTTTTACCATGTATAATAAACAATTTTTTTCTGTGACAGGAAATATCACGAATCAATATTGAGAAGATAATACATTATTTTACTTGATTTTTTGGGATTTTCTCTCCTCGTTCCTATAAAATAATATTATGCGTATTATTTCAATATATTTGTAGAGGGACAAATCAGATGATTTGCCCCAAAATGTCACTGCGTTTAACAGATTTTTCTATCAGGGAGCCTAAAAGAAAAATCCAGTAGCTTGTCAGCGACAAATTGTTCGAAAAAATGATTGAATGGCAGAAATATTGAAAAAATATCGAATTTTTACTTATCTTTGGACGTTTCGGGACCGAATCTGCTCCCGTTCTCAACATGAAAATGCAAAATATTTCTCTTTGGAAGTTGTGCTGCTCATAGTTTGACACTTTCCAGTGTCATGCTGATGTTGGCATATGAATGAGTGATTTTAGTCTACAAATTTCAATTTATCTTGAATCTACCATGTTTATGTTCAGTCTTCAGTAGTGAATACCATGATCTATCTATATCAACTGAACAGGAAACAATGCTATTGTTTCCGTTCAGAAGAATGCAAGCGGATTCCTTGATTTTTCTTTTTTGGCTGTTATCTTCCTTTCCTATGATTTTGATATTATTCCACTCTGCCATATGAACGTGTTGGATAGAGAATCGAAAGGCCTTCAAAACCACCCTCGAACCTCACCATATTCATGCCAAAAATTACCTTTTTATCTGTATTTCAATCGACTTCGTTTCGTTCGAAAGTTAAAGGGGTATAGGACTTTTACGTACCCACTGTATATATTGATAATATTATATATTAATAATCAGAAGTCTAAGAGGAAATTTGATTATTTATTCAATTTAGTTCAAAGACACAAAGGCTGTGCCAGTGTCGGCATCTGCGGAGTTCTACAATTTCGAGCGACTTTTGTCTTCTGTGCTATGCACTTTTGACTTTTGTATTTGTTCAAAATTATTCTGTATATAGATCAAAGATACGACATGGAAAAATCTGAACATGAGAATGATGAATTCAAGATGAATTGATGACAGAAAGCGACTGATTTTCTTTGTCAAATGCGGTTGCGCATTATTGTTTTTATTTTTTCTTGTTCGAGATTTTTATCTGAATATAATATGATATAGGTAAGTATGGCAAGGACAAGTTGATTATCGAACAAAATTTGTTGAAATGAAGAATGAATTCTCAATTGACAGAAATATAGGTATATTTTCATTAATTTTGAGATGTCAGTGTTTCAGTTGTCCGATATTTTGACATCGTATGTAATTTCAAAGTATGTGTGAATTGTGAGTTTAACATAACGACGGCCAGTTTGATTACCTAATTTTTTTTCACAACAGCACAGTTCAAAATCACATGTGGTTTTGAAATATATGACATACTGCCATTCATATTTCCAGTGATATTTACTTCCCACATTTAATAATGCGCCCTCGGATTCATCCCAAGATTTTTTGTAAATATCAATTTCTTGTCAACTTAGCATTAATTTTTTATTTCAACTAATTCTATTCATAAGACATCTTGTCATCTAGTTAATTTCGTTTGCTTTTTTGTTTTAGAATCGGATGATTATAATATAGCAGCGCTATGGCTTGAGGTGTTTTAGGATAACAAAAATGAAGAAAAAAAGAAAGTTATCTTGAAATTATTGTTATTCGATATCTTATTGGAGTCGCGGGTCGATGGCTAGAGAAGAACAATATTTTCCATATTGTATATTGGAAACGGGAGCAGATTCGTTCCCAAAACTTCCAAAGCTAAGTAAAAAGTTCATATTTTCTCGATATAATTATATTCCTTTTCTTCGAACATTTAAAAAAAAAACAAGGTAGCTTAAAATCGATTAGATTTTTTTGACCCAGTAATAGGAAAATATTTAAATGCAGTGACATTCTGGGACAAATCATGTGATTTGGACTTACTACACGTATATTGGAATAATGCCGAGAATAATACTCATATTTGTATTTGCAGAAACAAGAAGAGAAAATTCCAAAAAATCTGGTAATATTATAGTTTTTTATTTGTTTTTTTCTCGAAAAATATTACTTTTTACAAAACACAACAAAATACTCACCAGTGATCTGAGAACGCACAAAACAAATTCACGTAGACTCAAGAAACACACCACCGATGTACCAGATACAAACCGAAAACACTTCGAATACACCAGTGAGAGGATCATTTTGCAATACTGGGACATATTTTGACAATTTGTCATGACGCATATTATACCTATATCCCATACACGCACTCCACACTAATCACACTTTTTCGAATAAAACTGATAAGGCCATAATAGGTTAGTTTTTTAATGTTTCTATTCGCAACGTAGTTCCTTATCGTTCACATTTTTCAAAAAAAAAGGTTCCTAGATGCAAATAGCTTTGACTCTTCGAAAGTCGTAGGACTCGTTAAACTGAAGTAGATAGTATGAAATTGACTATAATAAATAGAGGGCTTTGATGGATGAGTAATAGTGAATATTGATATCAAAATGATACACATTTGCATTAAACACATAAAGGAACTACACTGAAAAAAGAAAGAGTGAAATGTCACCCAAACCCAACCCAAATTTCACTCGATAATGTCTCAATTAGGTCCACGATCCATTCAGTTGAAAATTCCATACCTACCATTTTCGACCAATCAAAATCCTGCATTTCGTATCGTTTACCATAGCAACTAAACTAATTTCCGGAAAAAGGAGCCTCGTAAGGAGCATGAAATCACACTTGAAATTTTTTGACGTTCATAGATATTATGAAATTTACATCAAGATTTACATTCAACTTCAGATAATGTCGAATCAATTCTATAAGTTGATATTTCTACCAACTTTAGTAAAACGAATTTGTGGAAAACTGAGAAATTGAGCTTGTATCGACTTAATGTTTCATTTTATGTAACTAACGTAAGTTAATTGTGTTTTATTCAATGTTATGGGTGTGAATTTTATTATAGCTTCGAGTTTTTATAACAAAATATATATATATATATAATATATATATATTCCACCAACTTTAAAGGAATGAAGAAAAATCGAGGTTTGAACTACCACCAGCAGCCTTATTAATATTTTGCGAGATATTTTGCGTAACTGAAGTCGGTATTTTGTATTTCATTTAGCGTATCCCAGTATTCTTCAAATATCATTTCGGTGTGACATTACTTACTGAATACAACTCTAACTTCAATTAAAAACCTGAAATTTATTCTCGAACACAAATATTTAGAAAAGTCTCCCTCGTCTATACGTTATATGATTATTGAATTTTCAAAAACAATTAAAAGTCTAACGGTATATTTTTCCATCCATAATTTTCAATTTTATTCATGTTCAAAAACTTTATCAACGCATAGCAATATATTACGACATATAACTCTTTTTTTTTTTGTTCAGGATTACGAAACTTGTTTCATTCGATCAACTCTGCTTGAGAACGAATTCCCATGGTTTATGGATTAATGATAATATGAACGGTCTTTTTTACAACTTTTCTAACACATTAGACATAAATGGATGAGGCGGTACACAAGATCATCTATTAAACATCAGTCAGTTGATAATTTTATTAATGCAAGTCCACTTTTGATCTGGAGAGATACCATTGATGATAAGACCTACAGTGACGTGAAAGAAAAAATTATAAATTGTTCATGAAGTAAACGAAGGAATGCAATGAAATTATTCAGGACATCACTCAAACCAGCCAAGAAAATGCCTAATTCAACAATAGAAAATACATTATCACAATTACAGAATGCTTCGAATTGAATTCATTTGAACTAAAAGTATGGTCCTGTATAAAAAAAAATAAAAAAAACTGAAAGCAGGTAGTACTTAGCATAGTGTTAGTACACATGCGCCTTGGACACTAATAATACAGTATACTCAATTCGAACGGTAGAGTAAATTTTTTGTTGAGGTGATAATTTGGATGTAATTTCATATAATTTATGAGCGTTATGATCATGAAGATAGTGCCCAAACTAAACACAACTTTCGAGAGATTGTATGTACAGGGTTATCCATCCACGACCTTCATCAGTAGCTTCACAGGGTGGTCCCGTGAGGCGCGACATCAAATCACGAATTCAATTTTTTAAATAGAGCACCCTATTTTTCATATATTTTCTGAATCTATGATTGTTTATGATTACAAGAATGTGAGAATACAATGTTATATTCTACTTCATCTTCTTCATTAAAACTTCTGTAACTCAAGATACAATATTGTTGTGTGGTCTTTTACAGTTTTATAGTCATGAACTATTATGTTGAACATCCATAAATGAGGGTTTATTTGACTGTTGTATCTTGCAAAATTATTGAATACATTCCTGTGTTCGAAATACTGTGTTGCTATGGTAATGTGTTCAAGAAATTGTGTTGCCATGCCATGGCAGCCATGGTAACATGTTTTTCTACTCACATAACTAAAATGGCATTTATCGTACAGATATGTACCACGCTAAATGATCGATTAATCACGGATTGTCGATCTGTGATTTATTCGAAATATTAAGCACGTTACCATGGCAACACGATTTCTTAAACACATTACCATGGCAACGCAGTTCATTAAACACAGCTTCAGTAATTTGAGACATGTCTGGCCTGTCAATTGTATTAACTGTCAACTGTTATTTTCGAATTTTGTATCAAAATTATTCAAAAATATTCGTTTTCGTTCATTCGTTCTTCATTAAAAATATATGCGGAATGTAGACGAAAGTGAAATCGAAGAGGATGTTTTGGTACTTGCATAATATATCTCCTAGAAGTGTAAAAATGAAGCATCCATCTTTGAGAACAATTTATTTGTTCTGCGCTAAAACAATAAACGTGAAACAAAGGTTAGTAAGCAATGGACTGGACACATCTACAACCAATATCACTTATACGTGTCTCGCTGGTTGCATGCAGTTGCATGTATTATGTTCTCAATTCCCATCCCTTTCGAATTATTTTGTAGGTTAGCAGGAATTGCAGGTATGTTAATGTAATTTTCGGAGTTCGTAGAAAAATCATAGTATGTAACGCGTTTATAAACTCTTCTAGACACTCGTTTATTAAACACTCGCTCCGCTTTGCTCCGCTCGTGCTTAAAATACTCGTTACTAAAAGGACGTTTAAAGCACTTGTTACATAATATACTATTAATTTTTCGAATAAATCACAGATCGTCAATCCGTGATTAATCGATCATTTATAGTGGATATACGTACGATAAATGCCATTTTATTTATGTGAGTAGAAAAACGATGTCAATCAATTTTCTAACACAAGGAATGTCACTAACGTCAGTGACAAGGCTACTGGGTAATTCTTATTATTTTCCGGATGCATAATATGAATTCGCGAATCAAGTTTTCCTCATTGCAGGAGATATGAAAAATATAGTCGACGGAAAATTTTTGTAACCAACTCGTATATTAGAAGGCGATAATACAATAGTTGGTTGACTTTTATTAAATATAATAAAGTGGGTAACAACATATCAAAAGATGTAATCTGATAACGAAATGCCATAATGTCCTATAGGCATGTAATAGTTATAAACATTACAAGGCTGATAAGTAGCAAACAACTGATTATTATATCGACCGAATCCGTTATTTCGGTCTTGTGTTCAAGATTTTTCGTAGTACCGCTGAAAGATTACATTTTGATTCCGAGAAAAGAACAAACAATCGTGTTGTTATGAAACAGTTAACGGCCGCCAGCCGTTAAACAATCTTAACGAACGAAGGCTGTTAACATTAACTTCACGACGAATGTCATATGAATACCGTTAAATCAGAATAACAGTATGGGATTACGAAAAACCATTAAATTTGATCAAATGGCACCTGTGCTAATCACTATTCTGAGCAGCATGATTGAAAAATGGCAGTTTCCTGTGCGGTTTTTGCACACAATTTCACGAATTGATGAGAGTTAGAGTAAGAGCCGTCACGTGATAATTAGTTGAGAGCAAATGGAAATAAGAGGTCATGCTGATGTCCAATCTGCGAATATCCGAACGTGCCACATTCCAACCTAATCTAAATAAGTGGCTGAGTATCAATATTTTCGAGAATATTTCGCCCTTGTTGGAATATAATATCCGATAGACCATCGGTTCGATAATCTGGTTCATGGGATATTATCTTCCGACAGGGGCGAAATATTCTTGAAAATATTCTTGGGAATATCGACGCTCTGCCTCTAACTTAGATCAGTTTGAATCGGGGCACGTTTGGATATTTGCGAGGAGGGCGTTATCCCCATTTACTTGCGTTATGTTTCAACACTTTACGGCAGCACAAAAATCGTTGTGTCTAAAAAAAATTGTAAAATTGTTCTATCCGCCATTCGGTTGCCCCTTACGAGTAACCCTCAGAAGTCTTCGATAGACTTGTGCGAGCAAGGAATGACGGGGGGCCTTACCTTTTAACGTGTGGTCCCAAACACTTTCTTGGGCCATCAGAAAAATTTCTGCAGTCGCAGGAATTGAACCCACGACCAGCAAGCGAATGCGGATTAGAATACTGGCACTCTGTCCGCACGGCTACCTGGCTCCTAGGTAGGGCTTTGAGACGTATGATTCAATTGGTAATGGATGGCATAATCCTTATCTCGTTATGAAATCGTGATTATTGCTCAGGACAGTGATTGAAAACATAATGTTGTTGTTATGGAATTTGTGACTTTATGGTTTTTCAGAGTATCACCCATGATGCCACAAACTGAGGGCTGTATCGGCAACCAAGATAATGCGTTACAACTTCTGATACTTTTCAACGCTAGCATATTTCTTACCTCTCTGTTTTTCAGCGGCTGCAACGTAGCCTCTCTACTGGGCGGACTATCCTCCTCGTCGCTCAAAGTGGAGCAAGTGGAACAATTCGAGGACTTCCTGTACGGCTTGCTCATCACATAGTCTCCATCCAGCCCGCTGATCGCAGAGCCGCAATAGTTCAAATTGCTGCATGAGCTGTGCAAACTCGAATCGGGAGATACCGAGGCGTCCCTCTTGCTACGAATATACTCGATATCTTCGAGCGTCAGCCCCATGATATCGTCCGAATAGTCACTGACCACCACGGAAGGGGTCCTCCAGTACCGGTACCGGGGCGCTTCACTATCACCTTCACTGAAACAACTCTGCCTTCGGCTGTCGCCGACCGTGTCCGAAGGCACTTCGCTCGCGCAGTCGATGCTGAACTTGCGATCGATGGGGAGAGGCACGTAGTGGGCTTCGATTATGGTTTTGCTGGGCACGTTGGAATGGTCCAGGGAACCTCTTGGGCTGTAGGGGCTGCGAAGGCAAGCTGAAATCGATGAGAGGTCAGTTGTTGGGCTCTATTTGGGTAAAACTTGTTTGTCTACAGAAGAGCAAAGGTTTGGGATTAGTTGTCTTGGCCAGTTTGAATGTTGCTGTTGGGCGCCATTTGGGTAATAATCGTTTGTCTACAGAACAGCAAAGCTTTGGGATTATTTGTCTTGGCAGGTTTGAATGTTGTTGAATGTTGTTGTTGGGCGCCATTTGGGTAGAACTCGTTTGTTTACCGAACAGGAAAGCTTTGGGATTATTTGCCTTAGCAAGTTTGAATGAATCTGAATTGGATTATAGATTTGATAACTACGTATACAATGCTACAATACGGCGAGTTACGCGTCCCATCTAGAGGGAAGAACTAGTGTTTCCAAATATTGTAGATATTGCTACAGATCATTAAAAGGTGTGAGCACTCAGTAGAAGTATACCTAACTGAAACTGGCCTTCAATACAAGTGATTATGCTGTGAGTATATCCAAAAAATATTATTTGGATTTGTGGTTGAATAGTTTTCTATTTCTAGAGCTCATTGACGTGGATCACAATGTTAGGTATATTTTGTTTTTGTTTGCTGTCCGTCTCATATCTCAGCCGCAATGAAAGATGATAACAGGGAATTGAGTAATCGAATGAGTATTTTGTTTCGTGGCTACAGGAAAGAATTTTGGTATGAAATTGACCTTCAAAACAAATAAAATTCGGATAACAGATACTATTCGATTTCAAAATGTATGGAAGGTACTTCTAGAATTTGGAACGTCCCTCTTGTTGTAGGTATAGTACCTGAAAATCATTGTTACTAACCGAAAAGTATGAAGTACGAAACGATGGATGCTGTACCCAGTATAGCTGAATTTGAAACTGATATTGGCCAGTGTTGGCAAGGAGTGAGTTTTTTCCTATAGGTTTTTCCGAAAACTTCACCAATAATACGGCACACCATCTATCTTTTATTAGTTTTCTTACATACCAATGTTATGAGAAGCTGTCATTTCGAATCCATGAAGTTTATTGAATAAATTCAAAAAATTCACCAATTGAGATGATATAATTCTGAAATTGATAGAGATATCTATGATATAGAATTTTCGCATGATACCTCAATGAATCCATTATTTTGTTGATAGTTTTACTGATTTTCAGAATCTGTCTGAAATCTTCATAAACACCAAGATGAATGACGTCATAACTTTTTACAAGTGTGAGTGTGTCAAATAGATGTTCACGTAACCAGTTAGGAAACGTTCTGTTTTGTGTAAGAATGGGATATTGCGGAGCGAAGCGAGATCCTGCGAAATTCAAACAAAATTTATTTTCCTATAACGTGTAATTTGAACAATATTTGTCCTAATTCTGGCGAGAGAAAATTTCTTCAAATTGATTATATTGATAATTTCAATGACGTTTGTTCCGTAAGTAAAGTAGGTGGATTGAAATCATCCGTCAGTTTTGAAAAGTGTCATTCAATTATTTAAATTGAATATTTACTGTGGGACACTTTGGGATGATTCGGTGATTCGGTGAAAACTTGACAAAAAATCGCTTATGACCGAGTTTATAATATTCAGCCGTTTGACATTTAAGTACGAACATAAAACATGAGGAAAATTATATTATATTTCAACAGTGTGTATATCGTGAAGGAGTTAAGATACCATAGTAGTGTTTAGTAGGATCTTATTTTATTTTTTTTCCCTAAATATTACATCGATTGTCAAAGTCCGATAGATAAAGAGGGTGTCCAGTACCGTCTTCACCATAAGGGCACACCGAGGTGTGCTCGGGGCACACGGGGTTCAGTACAAAGGGCCCCTCATTCTCAGCACAGTTAGTACCTACCTCACAGCGCCCCCGTCAAATTTTTTGTAATATTTATTTGATTAGGTAAAGGTACCTATAATAAATAGAAGATAATGGAATGGGTGAGTATAATTCACTATATTTACTTTCCAAAAGGGCACCAAATTCTTGTGTGCACAAGGGTTCCAGCATGGTTCAAGGGAGAAATATAATTTGCTGACCAAAATTATAAAAGTATGCTGACCAAGCATTTCTGGTTCGAATTTTTTCTTCTAATTGCATATTCGAATATTCTATATGAATATATAGATGCCACCAGTAAAATAATTCTGATCCACTCCTTCGGAGGGGTAGTTTTTTCATGCAGTTTTTCAAAAATCTTTGCTGACCGAGCATTTCTAGTTCGTATTTTTCCATAAAATTACATATATTTGGATATCTCATGTTGATTAATGAATGCCACCAGTAGAATTATTTCGATCCACCCTTTCAGAGGGGTAGTTTATTCCTGCTGTTTTTCGAAAATCCTTACTGACCGAGCATTTCTGGTTTGTATTTTTCCATCAAATTATATGATATTTGAGTATCTCATATAAATTCATGGATGAAACCAGTGGAATCATTTTGATCCACCCCTTCAGAGGGGTAGTTTATTCTCGCTGTTTTTCGAAAATCCTTGCAGACCGAGCATTTTGGTCCATATATTTCCATCAAATCACATTTTTGAATATCTCATATAGATATATAGATGCCATTAATGGAATAATTTCGATCTACCCCTTCAGAGTGGCAGTTTATTCTTGTAGTTTCTCAAAAATCCTTGCTGGCCGAGCTTTTCTGGTTTGTATTTCTTCATCAAATTACATATTTGAATATCTCATATTGATTTATAGATGCCACCAGTGAAATCATCTCGATTCACCCCTTTAGAGGGGTAGTTTATTCTCGCAGTTTTTCGAAAATCCCTGTTGACCGAGCATTTGTGGTCCGTATTTTCCCATTAAATCACATATTTGGATATCTCATATAGATTTATAGATGTCACCAGGGAAATTATTTCGATCCACCCCTTCAGAGGGGTAGTTTATACTTGCAGTTTTTTAAAAATCATTGCTGACCGAGCATTTCTGGTTTGTATTTCTCCATCAAATTACAGATTTGAATATCTCATATAGATTTATAGATGCCACCAGGGGAATTATTTCGATCCACCCCTCCGGAGGGGTAGTTTATTCTTGCAGTTTTTTAAAAATCCTTGATGACCGAGCATTTCTTGGTGTCATCCATATATATCTATATAAGATATTCAAAGATGCAATTTGAAGGGAAAACTCGAATCAGAAATGCTCGGTCAGCATACTTCAATTTTGGTCAGCAAATTATACACCCCCTGGCTCGCCCCCTGGTTTAAGACGGTCTCGAAATAAAGTTAGTTTCGGGATTATATAGTACCTACCTATGTTTTATTTATATTCCTTGCCCTTTTGGACCTGGCTTGCACAATGATTGTGTCGTAAAATGTATAGTCTTATATCATTAGATGAGTAGATATAATTACCTTCTGCCCCTATCTCCTCTTCTTTTTTCTCCCCACCCCACCTTTCGCCCACCGGCCCCTCTTCGTCGCTATGCACCGCAGAATCCGAACTAGCACTCCTCCGTATCGACACCTTCTTCGTTGGCCAAATTTTCTCTCGCTCATCGTCACTAGCCCCCGAAGCAGACGAACTGCAATACCCGCTGGAAGGCGGCACCAGAAGCTCGGATTTTTCCCTATCCAAACTCGAACTACAATCCAGTGACAAATGCTTGTAAGTTTTTTCTAGCATGCCCAAGTATTTTTCGCGTAGTTGCTTAACACTCCGGAATTTCGATTCGGCTTCTGGTTCATCCACTGTTCCATCCATTTCGTAAACACCCCGTCGTCTTTGTCGTGATTTTCTACTACCTGGATCGGATTCTTCAATAGTCACAGTCGAAGAAAACGCGCTACTCTTCACTTCAGCGCCTGGTACTTCTAGCGCCATCTGTACGGGGCTTATCGAACCCATGGTGTCGATAAAGTCGCTACCTACCAGGGATTCGTAGTAGGTTCTGTGTTTTTTCGCTTTCTCCAGAAGAACTCTCCGTAAGTCGGCGTTCTCCATGATGTTGGTTTCGTAGAGGATGTGTTCGAGGTAGTCTAGGTTTTCTTTGGACGGAAAGAATGATTCTTTGGGAAGCGTGATGGAGTTTATCGTAGGGTTCTGGATTTGGAGATCGGTCAACCCGCCGAGGAATGAAGGTGAGGATTTGTCATCCGCTTGAGGCCGGCGGGACCAGAATCCGCTGAAGCTGAAAATGAAAATAAGTGAAATATAATAAAATAATAATAATAATAATAATAATATATTATAGATTATCCGCGTCGGGATTCTCGTATATAACCAGTTACGAAACGTTCTGTTTTGTCTAACGATCAACGATGGGATCTTGCGTCACGGGCACGGGCAAAGCAAGATCCCGCGAAATTTGCACAAAATTGGATTTCCTAACTTACAATATTGTTTCTAATCTTGGCTATAAAAATGTTCCCCAAATTGATCAGATTGATAATTTCAATCAATCGTATTGAGAATCTACATTATACATACAATATTCCGCTTGTCAGTTTGAAGTTTCCTGCATTTATAGAAAACGCTATCATCCCTCCACTAGCAATACCAGTCAGACGAACTAGACAAGCCCAGTCAGCACATCCTTTCGTTGTCAACCTCGAAAGATGTCGAACAGCACTTTATCAAAACTCCTTCATCCATAGAACGGCTAGGCTCTGGAATTCATTGCCTGAGGAAGTATTCCCAACAACATATAACCTACAGAAGTTCAAAAAAAATTCCAATACCTACCTCCTATCCCTATCCTCCCTAGGAACGCACGATGTTCTTTGAACATTATAGGGATTCCCTTTCGTGCGCTCCAAGCGATAAAAAAAAACGCGTTTGGCAACGGGATTATGAATGGAGGACACAATGAACATTAAGTACATCACCAGTTATGAAACATTTCACTCTACGCAACTAGTAACGTAAGTAAAGTAGGGCGTTTCAAAACTTTCGTCAAAATAAGAGAAAAACATTATTCGAATGTGAATCAAAGTGAATAATTTTCAAAACACCTAGTGTGGGCACACTGCACCCATCAGATAGGTGAGCTCAATGACGTGATAATAATGACGTCTTAATGGAGATCCCATTGATCCATGACGTCCTCCCCGACTATATACTTCAATGAGATCTTTAAATAATGTCATGATGTTACTTCCATTATGTATACTTTAGCCATCAACTATTCCTAATTGTTTTTTAAAGAATAATAGTTCACAATTTACTATTTTGAAATATGAGAACTCCCTTTCATGCCATATCACAAGAAATTACCAAACTGAGTAATAATAATTAATCTTGTATCATTCTGGATTGATATCAAGTTGCACGACAAGTTTCATCTAGCCATACATCAACCCCAATTCTAGATTTGTCATACCCGAACGTAAGTCTATCCATAGTCAATGGGAAAGACCACTTAGGGAAGAAATCCTTGCAAACCTCTTTCAATCGACGAATCATGATTTACGTTTGGTCTACAATCAATATTATGAGTTGAAGTTGAAGGGAATCGAATCTATATCGTTTCGAAATCAGCATATTTCATTCGTTATTTCGAGAAGCCAAATATGATGATGGAGCCGTGACGTATTAGTCTCGCACTGTAGCTATCTCTCTCTGATACCTCGTCATTCTGCAGTGTTGCAGTGTGATTGGTGAGTTCAAGGACAATAGGCGTGTTGGGACTAAAACGTCGCACCAGTCACACCAATGAATTGAAAAAATTTCAAATGGCGCAGGAATTGTATGTTTTGAAATGGACATATTCTAATTTATTTTTTTCATCGTCTTAGCATGAATGAAAAAAATTAAAATCAATTCACTGGTAGTTTTTCAGTATAGAGTTCACGATAATGTCGTTTCAAAAAATCAGTGGTCTCCCCCAATTGGCGTCGGCGGGTTTGAAGTTTCTTTCAAATTAAGTGCAAGTGCAGCTGGAGGCGGTCCAATTGAATATAAACTATACCTTCGTCGTGTCAGAACGTCATACTCAAAGATGGAATCCTCCTCTTGCATCATCTGGGAGTTAGTTTGTGGTTCATCCATACAAACGAAATTCCACACAACCTTGTACAACTAATCAGGTCAATTTTGTAAATGCTGGAAGGAATACTAAACGACCATTGTAGATTTAGAAAACACGAGACACTAGTTGGGATAACTGATGATGCAATGAGCCACTTAGGTGGTGCAGAGGACGAAACCCGCATTTTCGATCTGCACATATCTCGCAGTGTCTTGTAGGAGCAGTATGGCAAATTAATGAAAAGGCCATGGGAAATAAAGCAGAACGCTAACCCTTTCTGATAATTGTTCTAAAATTGTTCTTATCCATCATTTGGTCCCCTCACGAGCAACCCTCAAAAGTCTTCAAGAGACTTGTGCGAGAAAGGAATGACGGTGGTCTCACCTTTTAACGTGTGATTCCAAACACTTTCTTAGGCCAGCAAGAGAATTTCTGCGGTCGTGGTGGGAATCAAACCTACCTACCGGTAGGCCAACGTGGATAAAAACTGAAATTTCTACCACAAAGCTACGCTGGCTAAGACAATAGATCTGCTTGAGGAATGAGACAATCATCTCAAAATATCATCGCATCACCTTCGGGGATCACACGCAATAGGGCTTGGATAGACCAAAGTCAAGACCCTCGGAAGAAATTGATGGAGACTCTGATAAGGAAGTAGTAACAATACAGCTGGGGCGGAAGTAAAACATCCCACAGGACTAAGTTCGCTTAGGGACATATCGGCTCTCCTTTTGACCCCTTCAATCCATTTATGAACGTGATCTTATCCATCTATAGAGTTGGTCGTTGGATGTCGTTGGTCAGACGAAACGTATACATAAATTACTCAATTTCAACTTCATATATGCTTATTATCGTAGTTGGTAATGCAACCCAAACCACAATGACTATAATCCCAAGCCAGTGAAAAGGGCTTAGGTGAAAGTATGTATAGGCTCTCACCATATGAAAATGTCTGCATTTTATATGAATTATATACTAAGTAGGTTATGGCGAAGGTTATGGTCGTAAGCACTCGCAGTGGTGGTTGAATGGTTGTGCCAAAATAGACTTCGGCTTTGCTGGCAGTAATATAGGAATACATCCACTACGCTACTGACAAAATATAATCTGATATAGCATGACCTCGAGATCTCGACTGTATACCAATCGGAGGCTCTTCTTTCAGGTATCAAGGCCTGCAGCGACTCAGAGTGTTGAAATCAAATCGGTTTGGTTCTTTGGTGGAGGCGATGAATCATGAGTCATTTGCGAGGCTCTGCAATAAAGTGTGGATTTGTTTGATAGTATTGGATTAGGAGCTTATCATGAAGCGATGTTTAGTCAATGCTTGACGAAAACTTGACGTGATATTTAACTATGTCTTTACTCTCAGGCAACGGAATTTGTTTTACTCGTAGGTAGCTTGCTCCAGAGTGAGATCATGGCAACCATTATCAAGCTTCTGATAGGACCAGTCTTATTTTACTCTCTGTAATGAATATATGAAAAATGTCGCAAGAAATGAATGAATCGTTAGTTATGAGAATTAGTGTAGCTACATCATTCTGATGGCATTTCAACATTCAATGGTAGTTATAGATTATAGATTAATATTAATAATAAATGTATATTCGAATGAATTATAACGTGACCAAATTTCTACAACATGTAATATGTTTTGGAAATAAACGCTCTATTATATTCCATTCTATTGTTGTTCATGTTATTTGAAATTTTTCAATCAAGCACGATTTTAGAAATATTCTTCAACAGGTTCAGTGTGTCATGTGAGCTAAGAACAAATTATAATGAAATTTATCCACGACCAATATATATGTACTTGTGATTTCTGGTAACAATGCCATACATGCCCCGCAAGAAATAATGACGATTTATCAATAGTCATCATCCTATCACACATGATTTCTCAAAACAATAGCACGACAATGGTATGAAGAAACTCAAAGGTGTCAGTATCAAACGCGTAGTACAGGTCCTATCATGGTGAAAATAGTTAATATTGATTTCAATTGGAAAACTTCAAGCGATGACGATGAGATTATTTCTACATCACTAGAAATTCTAGAAAGAGCAAATAAATTGGCAACAGATGAGTTGTCTCGTGGAAAATAGGTACGAAATCGCTGACGAAAGGTTCATGGACTGGAAACTCAGTAATAATATCATGTCATTCTGGGAAATATTCTGTTACCTACTTTCAAAAACTGCACAGTGACTATAAATTACCATTATTATGTTAATTTTTATGTTCATCAAATGTGTTTTTTGTTACCAGTACAGCTGTTAAGATATGGAAAACGCTCGAAAAAACGGTTTGATTTCAGTTCAAATTGAGGAAAATGGCTCGTTATGCAATCTACCAATAAACGAAACAAGATACGATATTTGTGTCTGTTTGTGTTTCTTGTATCCTGAAGGAAGTAAAGTGTAGTCCTAGAAAAAGTATAGTACATTTCACTAGTTGTAAAGCAGTTACGCACTTGTGGAGTTACACACTCGTGTGTAATTGCCTCCACTTCGTGCGTAATATGCGTTTTACAAGTCTTGTCATTTTATATGCTAATATTAATAGGCCGATTAATACACTAGTTGATTAAATAAATTTCGATAGGTCGAATGGTTTCCTGAATCAATTGTGATTTTATTTTCTTGAGATCTCCGTAAATGTTCATATGATTTGAATGATTTGAACTTATTAAACTGATTCCAAAGATTCATAATATTTCGAAAATATGCAATCTACATAATATGTCTGAACGATGTGATGAGCACAAATTTCCCAAATGCTTATATTACTAAACTAACTATTTGAAGTTGTATACGTGTACAGGGTGTTTCTTAAGTACGTGTAGAAAATTCATGAGCATGTTGCTGTCGACAAAATAAGAAGAAAATTTCGTATAAATATATGTCCGAAAGTTTTTCGTGTCTGAGATACAGATTGTCAAAGTTGAATTCTTATTTTTGTTTTTTATTAATGAATTTCAAAATAATTGTGATATTCGAATGAAGTTCGGTTCCTAGGGCTGTTTCTCAATAACAATATCAAATTTACCCTATGACAATTTCACGTATCAAATCGGTACAGTTATTTCTTCCACTTGGAAGATATCAAGTAGAGTCCTTATTGGTTATTCCTTTGAAAGTACTCTTTC